GTGTAGGAACAGCATATGCCTGACCTGGTATAGGGAACAATGCTCAAGTGAAGAATAGGAGGAAAAAGATAGTGAAACTACAGTAGGATCATTATTAAGGATCTGCTGAAATATGGAATACATACATCCGATTTAAACATTTTTGCCCTGACCCATGTGGCTCAGTTGGTTGAGTGTCATCCCTTGCACCGAGAGATCCTGATTTGATTCCCTGTCAGGGCACATGCCCGGATTGCAGGCTTGATCCCCAGTAGGGGGCATGTAGGACGTGGCCGATAGATGTTTCCCTGTCATCGCTGTTTCTCTCCCTCTCCCTCACCCTCTAAAATCAATAAAAAACATATTTTGTAAAAAAAAATTAAACATGTTTTTATCTTAACATACAAAAACTGGTACAGAACTTCACCCCTCACAGTTTATATATATTTCAACATTTAGTCAGCCTTAGTCTCCTCTGGTCTCTGACAGTCTCTCTGTCTTTCCTTATTTCTCAGGACCTTGAGATCTTTGAGGCGTACTGGTTAGGCATTTTGTAAAATGTTCCTCAGATTGGGTTTGTCTGATGTTTTTTTCATAATGAGACTGAGCTTAAAGGTTTGGGGGAAGATTATCATAGAAGTGAAGTGCTTTTCCCATCACATCATATCAGATGGGTTGCAGGCTCGATCCCCAGTAGGGGGCGTGCAGGAGGCAGCCGATCAATGATTCTCTCTCATCATTGATGTTTCTATCTCTCTCTCCCTCTCCCTTCCTTTCTGAAGTCAATTAAAAAAAAAAAAAGGAAAGAAAGAAAGAATAAAGAAACCTGGCTTGTACCATCCACCATCCAGTTAGTTGTTCAACATCAGTATACATGTAAAGCAGTTTCCAAATTATTAACCCATACCCCTGTGAGAAACAAATATACCAACTATAATAGATTTTATGTATTGCTCTTATTGTCTTTAGCTTTACAATTCCAGTCAAAATACCATTTCTTAAAGTTACTTAGGTTAGCTTCTTTTTTTTTTCACCATTCTTGAGGATTTCAAAAGTTAAGGTAGGCAGAGATAATTTTAAATATATTTGCAGATATTCAGCTTTCATAAGTACTATATTTTAGTATTACTCCAGTGTGTAAACATTTCCAAACCATCAAACAGAGGGAACTTGAAATTATGTATAGTTTTTGAGAGACTGAATGAATCTTGATTGAATGACAAATCCTTTTGAAAGTCAAATGGTTTGCAAGGTTTTGCTTTTAATGAAATTTCAAGAGACTCAATGGTTAAAGACCATTTTTAGTGATAAATTGCTATATGATTCTTGACATACAACTAGACAAGAATTGAGAGACTCCTTTAACAAAACTTCCAATTCTATTTACTTACATGAATGTGGTTTCTCAGCACTTACAGCTTTAAAAAGAGAAAAACAGAAGAGAATCAATGTTAAACCTTGTCTAGTCCAGCAAAAAGTTAGCATTCTTCTATAGATACTAACTGAACTAATTGGGAGGGAGGAAGAAGAAAGTCCATTCAAGTCTTTAAGAGATGAATGTCTGATACAGTTTTACTTTTTATAATTAAGTATTTATCAATGTAATTTATTTTATTTTGATCAACGACGTACTACTAATAATTTTAATAATCCAGTAAAAAGCCTATATCAGGAAAAAGTAATTTCCATTTTTATAATAGGGTGATCAATAAGATTTTTAAGCATGAAAAACATTACATGGAGGAGATAAGAGTTCAGGGAGAAAAAGGAATAATATAAACTTTCTGATTCTTAAAGAAGAGTTTACTTTTTTAATTAATTGTAAAAATTTTTAATAAGCATCAAATGCACTTTACATTGATAATCGCTATACTGAAATTGTGATATTTAAAATTTTTTTCTCTAAAAAGGTTAGTGATTTTCTTTTTTTCTGGGAAACATAGAGATCCAACTAACTATGAGCATTAATGTGGTCAGTCTAGGTCAGTATGGTTTAGTTAATGCTAATATTGAAACAAGTGCCATTTCATGTCTGTAATAAGGTAGACTGTGAACTTCTGTATCACTGAAATGCAAAAATTCCATGAGGTAATTTAAAGGGATGTCAAATTTTTTTAAGTGTAAACTCATAAACTCTACATTGGGATCACTTTTTTGCTTGACTTGAGTGCACCTGACTTGAGAATACAAACGATTTTCTTCCCTAATTCCTTGGGAAAATATATCAGCAATAAGTCTGTATCTTCTTTATTATGACTGAGTTGTTTGTTTGTTTTGTTTTTCTGCTTTTACTTTTATTACTATTTACTTTATGCTTAATTTACTCCCAAGCTAAGTTTTTGTTTCTTCAGTTTCTTCTGGGATATCTGGGGAAAGAAAAAAAAAATAAAAATGACTGTTAAGTTTCCTGAAGAAACACCCACACTACAACTTAAAGGAGTAGGTCTTAACTCAGTGAAAGAATTGGAAACTTCAATCATGACTGAGTTGTTTTAAGAAATATTATCAGCCTGGCCAGAGTGGTTCAGTTGGTTGAGTGCTGTCCCATGCACCAGGAGGTTGCTGGTTCGATTCTGGTCAGGGCACATGCCCAAGTTGCGGGTTCAATCCTTACTTTGGGGGGCAGCCAATTGATTTTTTTTAACTTTTTTTTACAGAGAGTAAGGGAGAGGGATAGAGAGTTAGAAACATCGATGAGAGAGAAACATCGATCAGCTGCCTCCTGCACACTCCCCACTGGGGATGTGCCCGCAACCAAGGTACATGCCCTTGACCGGAATCGAACCTGGGACCCTTGAGTCCGTAGGCCGATGCTCTATCCACTGAGCCAAACCGGTTAGGGCCAATTGATGTTTCTATCTCTCTCTCCCTCTCCCTTCTGCTCTCCGAAATGAGTAAAAACATATTTTTTAAAAAAGAAAGATTATCAGCTGTGAAGTTAGTTTCCACAGTTGATAAAAATATGTCAAAACAGTATAATTTGCAAGTAAAAGGGTTTTCAAAGGCTGCAGGAACAGGACAGAAATAGCATTTCTTATTTGTGTAAGCACAAGCACTTAAAGCTAATCTGTAGGTAAATCCAATGTAGTATTCAAAAGTTCTATAAAAATGAACAAAAGATACATCTTTACTTTCATTGTTCCAATAGTCAAATGTTAGATCTGCATGAGAGTTGCAATGCAGCAGTTGCTGGTCCTATTTAAGAGTTTGAGGTTCTTTTTGTATATTTGGCGCAATTACGTTTGCATCCCAGATAAATTCAGTTCAAAAATATGGAAATAAGCCCTGGCTGGTGTGACTCAGTTGGTTGAGCATTGTCAGGTGCACCAAAAAGTCATTGGTTGGATTCCTGGTCAGGGCACATGCCCCAGTTGCGGGTTTGATCCCTGGTCGGGTTGCATACGTGAGGCAACCGATCGATATTTCTCTCACATCTCCCT